CCCAATTCCCATCACTGCATTTATTTCCAACTATATTAGCGCGTCACTATACCATCATTATTCCCAGTCTATGGTAACCTACGGGTCACAGAACATAGGTTATTGAACAACTGACAGTGGGTTTTCAGAATAAGAAACATCCCCACTTAATCAGAATTCCTTTTATGGCAGATTTTAAACACATCAAAGTTATATTCACTCTAGAAGAAGAATCTTCCTGCACTGTCTGTCTAATCAAAACAAAAAAGCAATTTACAGCTTTAAATCCCTCTTATAGATCAGTCATCAGATTCAAGGAATGAATTCTATGATTTAAATGAGAATCAAATCAAGCAGATGGAAAGTTTGTGGATTTTGATTCAGATGAGAAATATGAAGCTGAGATTTACCACCTCAATTTCAAATTGAGTATGAACTCAGATTTCACTCATTCCTCCTTCAAGTATAATTTGATCCCCCCACAATTAGATATGTTAATATTACAAGAATAAATCTTTGTCACCTCTACACTCAACATTCACATCACTACAAATTGTGATGAGATACATAGAGATCAATCAAACACCTATCTCAATCAGACACAATAGTCAGATGACAATAACTTCAGTTCATGAATGTATTCTAATGTTTATTCTAATTCTAACACTGTATTTCACAAAAATAAAGATGTTTATAATCTGCATAACATGAATGCAGAAAATCCCTCTATATCACACTCTGATAGCAATCTATCTAACTCCTCACACAATGTATTTCACAAACACAAAGACATGCCCCGTTGCAGATATGCTCAGTATTTAGATGGTAACTCTCTCTTCTCTTCCCCATCTTCTTCCAATGAGGAACCACGCAGACGTCGCTCGCAGCACCACAACAGGCGCCACCGATGACACAGCCGACAATATGGAAGATACAATTCTTCCCCAGCCTCTGAGCACCGACACGGGAGATCGCATCACTCTAAGCTTAAGTCAGATGATGTGATGATATTCGATCCTGCAGATGTTGATGTCCACACATTCATACTCTGATTTAATCAAATTGCAGCACTATACAGAGATGAAGTAGTATGCATAGTACTTTCATGATGTCTTCAAAGTAAAGCTCTGGAGTAACTTACTGATCTAGAGCCCGACACTGTCCAAGCTATGAATGACAGCTTATTCTGCTGGGAAACCGAACTATTAAAGCATTTTGAGAAATCAAGACAGCAAGCCTCGTAAAAAGCTCTATTTCTATGATACTGATTCTTCAATCACAACAGTCTATTTATATTCTTCTACTTCACCTGGAAAATCGCCCTCCTGCGCAAGGCAGGAATCGCAGATCAAATCCAATTTGTTAAGCATTTATATGACAGCTTTGAAACACAGCTCTAAATAATCTGCTTTGTTGATGAATTTGCTGATGATTTTTCTTCTTTAAATGACTTCTGATGCAAGGTTTTCAATCAGGATGCTGCTGCATACAAATTGTGGTCATTCAATCAACAATCTTCCCGCCCTTTCAACAAATCCCACAATGACAAGGAGTCTAAGCCCATGAATAACTCAAACATCAATTCCACCATCCAGTTGCTTAATCTTGAAAATCCCCGACAGTTCAATCGCTGGAACAACTACAAGAGTAATAACAATCAAAATAACCCACAGAGTTATAACAACCAACGTCGCGATGACTGAAGTAAATAGAGAAGACCCTATAAGGAAGGCCAAAATCAAAACCAAAACCGAGCCTTTCATACTGTTCAGAATGACATGTCAGTCTATGAAGAAGACATTGATGAAGATGTCATTGAATCACACAATGATACTGCATTTGAATCAGACACTCTGTAATGTGACGGCGCCGAGGCGGTTGCTACTCGGCAGCGGCACAGAGGAGGATGGTATATAATGGGAAGCCTTATAGGTGGGCTTGATTATCTCGCTTGAACCGCGAACTCGTAGAATACTATACAAATACTGAACTACCAGAGGTACTCGGCACACTAAAAATATTGTATGAGGACAGTGGTAACTCTGGTATCTTATTGTCAAAAGATAAAAGACGAATCGCTGGCTCCTGGAATAGAGAGCCAGCATCTAGCTATTCTATATAGACAACGGGCAGCCATCCTCCCCTCACTCTATGAGCGAGGGTAGCCGAAGCAACTCCGTAGTGGCGCTCCATTGATCTGCCAGATGGAATCCACTGACCCCGTATAGAAACAGGATTCTCATATCTCATCAATCAGATCCTCTTTTATTGCATTCGAATGATGTCATAGGGTGGTTGGAAACCGGTTCAGACACCTGCGTGACGTTATGGGATAGATGGGATTATCCGAGGGGAAGCGATAGGCCGTGTGGAGCCGTCACAGGGCCTTGGCACAACCAAGGGTGTGACAGCAGTGATAAATGTAAAGTTCTGCTTATGATTGTTACAGCTTCCTTATACAGTGTTGAAATATGTAAGATTGTTGTCAAGTTGACATAAGTGGGTGCAGTAGTTGTGGTAATGTATGGGCATGAGATGTGAGATGCAGAACTTGAGCAGTTCAAAGTTATTATACTGACTCAGAAGATTGATTTTGACAGCATCATTTTAATTCTGTCTTTCTGCTTCATGAATCTTGCTATCAAAATCAGGCAGATAGTTTGCTAATAGGGTATTTCTCTGATGATTTCTGTTCAGCCACTGCATTGCATGTGCTTGCAGTGTAGAATTCAAGAATAAAACATCTAATTGACAAAAGACTTCTTCAGAGATATACATTTTATATGCATATGATTCAATTCAGAGTTGAAACTTTGTTAAAGTATCTTCTTCTAGCTGACTATGAATATAGCGGGCTTGTGAGAGCAGAGAGTCTATCACAGACTCATTCTCTTCAAGTTTGACTTTTGTCTTTCATTTTCAGATTAGATAGATTGAGAGTTTTTTTGTGAATTTGTCAAGAAAAGAGAGATGTTTTTTTCTTTTGTATACAGAAAATGTTGATATTTACACATTTTTTGATATATTTATATTCAGATAATTCAATTGTTATTGAAGCTCTGCTATCTGCAAGAATTGCTGTTGAAGAAAGTTATGAAATTCAGTGTTATTTTCAATGAGGCTTCAGTTCTCACTCATGGAGAGGTGTTTGTAGTTCATTTTGTTTTCATACAAGGTCATAATTTTTGATTCTGATAACTTGAAGACTAGAAGGTTCAGTTCCTATTCTTTAAAGAAAATACTTCATAGACACTCTGACCTCTTCACAAATATGTGATTGTGAAATTATTAAGTGCTCAGACTTCTTCACAGCACTATCACAGTGGTGTGACTTTGTAGAACTTTAGAATTTGTGAATGTTATCACAACAACACAGCTTTATGAAAACTTGATAACTTATTCTTAACTTGAGCATCTGAGTGCAATTGTAAACATAGAGCACTCAGGCTGACACATATGAATTAATTTGTAATGTAATGAGTGTACATTGATTAATGATTTAGCACTATTTTAAATACAGATTATGAATTAATTAAGTAAACAATCGGACGGTGAGTACGCGGCCGCACCTGGCCCTCCCCCCTCCCGCGTTTCCCGAACGGGCCTGGGCCGGGCCTCGCGGACCCCATCCATTGGCCGCGTCGGTCGTGCCGTCGCCCCTTCGGGTTTGGCGCGCCTCCACCTCGCCGCTTGGAGTTACATCATCAACGCGGTCCGAAAATCTATATAAGATCGCTCCTCCTCCCTATGGCCAAAGCACGTTCCCCTCTCCCAAATTACCCTCCCTCGTCTCACTCTTGCCCTTCACCTTCCCCCTTTGCCCCATCCCCCTTTCCCTCTTCCCCCCTGCTCAGGCTCAGCCTCCCGCACCACAAAAGGTATCTGCCGATCTCCCCTTGCCGAACCCGTTTCGCCATCGCATCCCCTCCCCCCCATCCCCTTCCAGCCCTCCCCCCGTCAACCCCGGCCCATCCCCTTTATTCGGTCTTCTTGGAAGACCATGTAGATCGAGAGATCACAGTTACCCACTCCTCTTCTCGAGGACAACAGGCTTTGCTCACTGGATATTTCACTCGCCCGTGCCTCTCTTGCCCGTGGACATCTTCTCTGGCTTACTCTGTTGGTCCTGCAACACATTCGCATTTCCCTCACCCCTCTCCTTCTCTTTCCGTCTGAGCTACAATTCGATGCATGCGCTTTATGCCATCGACCAATGGCAAAAATCCCTCATGTCGGCGGAACCCGAGATTGCGGGGATCCGACATCCTGCCAGCGGCGCAGCGGGATTCGACTGGACACTGGGGTGTAACGTTGAGAGGGGGGGAGGGGTGCCTACGATTGCCGGCGCATGCCGGCTATGCTATTGACCAATGGCGAAAATCCCTCATGACGGCGAAATCCGAGATTGCGTGGATCCAGCACCCCCGCCTGCGGCGTAGCGAGATTACGAGGAGTGCGGCTGGACGCTAGGATGTGACGTGGGAGGGTGCGGACGCAAAATGCCCGCCTTCGCTGAGCCTCCGGCTGCTTTCGATGATTGAATTGGCTGTTCTGGAGTGTCGGCCGCGTATCCTTGTATTCAAGGTTTGATCCATTGGCGAGGAATGTCGGCGAATCCGACGCTGGGTCGCTTCCAGCTGAGGGAACTGAGGGAGTCAGGGGCGCAGCGATCGTGTGACGGTGAGGTAGGGTGGGTCCCCCGCACAATCCAAAGGCGTCCGAGCCACCGGTGTGTCTGCTATATCTCGGTTCATTCGTCATCGATTCTACGACCTCATGACCAATTTGCGCTCGTCCTCATGCATACGGCGTATAGGAAATGAAACATGGGCTTGCCGAGTTTGTTCTGTGGCTGTGATCCCTGGTGAATTGGTGGTGACCCTTAGCTCTGGACCGGTCGAAGATGCGGTTCGGAGGAACCCTGGATCTACGTGTTGCATTCCGTGTGTTGCATTGCGATCCATCCCTGTTTTGCGGGCAGTTCCCAGGTTGGAGGGGAAGAAGCAAAGCGTTTTTTGAAAATGCTGGGGTCTATTCACAAGACACAGGAAAGCCTTTCGCGGACTTTGGGCACCCTGCCAAAGGAGGAGCGTTCCTGGTTGTCGCTCTATAAAAGCGTCGGCTTTTCCCTTCTTAAAAGCACTGCGCGCAGAACGAGGATCACAGCTTCCCCGAACCTCTATCTCAAAAGCACACACGCTCGTGCAGAGCAAAACCCGACTGCAGTCACAATGGACAAGATCCGGTTCTACCAACCCCCAAATCCCATGAATCCCTCCAAACTACTACAGAGCCCCAAACTTCCTGCAATCCCCAGACAGTTACAGCTCCCCAACCCCTCAGCACAGAGACCCATTCCCACCGCCGACACTTTCACTTCCCTATTCTGTCCCTCACAGCAGCTCAGACACCCTTTGCCCCCCCGCCTAATCCCCTCTGTTACACCTCCCATCTCTTCCCACCCTACAGGCCAACGGTCCCAGCCACCCGAAACTCCAGAAAATGACTTTGACAGAATTTTGGAGGAGATCTCGTCGGACGACGGGAGCCAACCACTTGGCGGGGACGGGAGAAATGTCGACGAGCACGCCACCATCCCCTCCGGATCGAATCTGAGCGGTTTTGCCAGCGACCGCCTTGGTATGCCTGTCGAGGCGGATACGGCTGCGGAAAGTGCCACTGAAGCCGGCCTTCGCGCATGCCGGTTGGGTGGAAGTAGAGGTCCGTCTCTTGACTCGCTCACGATACGTCCTTTAGATCCGCTAACCTCGGCCCTATTTCAGATGGCCCCATTGTGGTAAATGGTTCGACGGAGATAGTCCACAGTGGTGAACCCACAAGCGAGTCCGCAGGTGGACAGACTTCCCCACCACTGCTGCCTGCCTGCCAGGCGCCCACGGATCAAAGTGACGAACTAGACGGGATGGTGGATGATGATGGAGCCTCATTGACTCCCCGAGGGGTTCCAGGTCAGCTTTTCCCACCAGTTTCAATTACCGCTCCGCGTTCTCCCGCTGATCTTCTACATGCAGAAACCCCTCCCCCCTTTACCATGGGCGAAGTGGGCACTTCCGCCCGCGCACCCCACGACGGTGTCTCTCCACATCCAGGGGGTCGACCTCAAATCTCGGCTGGCCACGCCGGTGCAACACAGGAGGAGTGGCTGGTCAAAAGGATACTGGATTCCCGGATCCGCCTGCGGAACGGCACGCCACGCCTGGAGTACCGTGTCGCATGGCGGCCTACGTGGCAACCGCGGAGCGATCTGATCCCGGGCTGCGAGGAGCTGGTCAAAAAATTCCATGCAGAGTGGAAGGACGAGCGGCCTTCACTGACTACTCTGACGGGCCACATGTGTTTCAAGCAGAAAAGGGGATCGCGCAGGGACGGTGGACGCAAGATTGTAAAATCAATTGGTTAGAATCTTCGTCTGTGTAACATGTCAATATCAATTTCGCCTCTGATTTGTTCCGTACTTTTCCTGTCTTGATTGTTACCTGTTTGCTGTGGTTCCCCTTGTTTGATCTTTGTTTGCTTAGCATATTTGAATCCGGCCCACGAGCTCCATTGACATTGCCTATCACGTTCCAGCCGAGGGCCTATCTTGCCTACGTCCCATGGTACATTTTACATTGTGTGTGTTTGTTTGCTCTTCGTCCTCATTTCTTTGTCTCCCACTTTTGTCCGTGTTTGTCCATACCTTACTACGATTGTTACCCGACCATGTACATCTGCGAATCGGAACGAATTACTCTCTTGTGGTGCTCATGGATATAGGTCATATGGCTACTTCTCGGTGGGAGTTCACTATTGTGTCGGCATTTTCTCATAGTGTGCGTTAAAAAGCTTCTAGAAACCAACAATGCCTTTGGGCTTCGACCACCTCTAGATATTTAGTTGTTCAAACTTATTGCTGCAGGTGTAATGGATAGCAATGTTCCCACTCCTCCAGGAGACATAGAATATTTGCTGGTATCCATATTTCAGCTTAAAGTAGATCATGTAGCTGACTTAGTAAGCTGTAGTGGACCTAATTAGAGAAATAACTGGACACGTTAAACCGTATGTATTGGGCAGGCTAATATATAATACTTATTCGCCAGAACAAAGCAATCACTAATCCTATTAGGTTTCAATCAGAGCTATCGTATCATCATACGCTTTAATAATAGGATCATATAACCTTTTTGGGTCCTGAGGCGTTCCAACAATAAGTCCTTCCTTCCCGTAAGGAAACAGTACGCCTCGTATGGTCTTGCAAAGATGCTTGACGCGCTCGAAGTCCGGCGGAAACTCCTGCAAAAGGTACTCAAATCCGCCAGCTTCCATGTTACCTCGTTTATAAGTTGCAATTTTCTTATAAGTTCCGGTATACCATTCTCTCAGCATGCTGTCTTTGGGCGGGTCCTGTCCCTGTCTCTGTAGCTCATTTAATTTTCCCCAACCGTGACGGGCACACTGCCAGATAAGCACGTAGAAAAACGACTCAAGATCATGTCGATAGGTGTGGTCGATATTAAGCAGCACCTCGATCGCCATGAACTCCATCGTGCCGGTCTGGTGCCGTGCGCCGCTTCGCCCGCTACCGACTTCCTTGGCAAGATCCAGATCGATCAGCATGCCGGAGTGACCACCCGCCTTTTCCGGATCGGTTATTATTATGTTGTTCTCCGAAATATCCCGATGTAGGATGTTCCCATCCAGATAAAGAGACCGATGCGCCTTTATTGCATCGCGAAGCGCCGTGAGCAGTTCTAAGGGTGACTCGTACCTGTAGATCGGCCGCCCAGCGGGCGAGATCACCAGACAGCGGAGGACACGGTTGTCGTAGAGTTCCTCGCTATTCCTGTCGAAGAGGCTCGGCTTGCGCGCCGACTGAACTGAGAAAGTTAGGTCGTTCTCCTGCTGGGTATCCCTCGACAGCTGACCGATGGAACGCGATCGTTTGGACGCCTGCATCCCTTTATCCGGAGATCTGCGTTTCCTGGAAGACGACTTTCGGCTGATACCTAAGCTACAGAGCTCGGTGAGCTGCTGAGATTGATGAAATGAGGAGGCCGCACTGGGGGGTGCGCTTTTGAAGTCGTGTCGCTTGTCGTCGAAGGTCAGGCCGCAGCGCATGTCGGCGATGCTGGTGATGGCACTATGGCCAATGATCCTGGCGACCCCTTGGACATTTTTTTGACCCGCTAGCTCGAGGAGTTCCGCCTCCGACCGCCGCTTGTCCGACACCCACGAGAATTTGGCTACGCCCTCCACTTGTCCATCGTTTGCGAGAAAACATGTTGTCCCGCGACACACGATGGCACGTTGAAAGGAAAGCATTTCACCCAGCCGCAGCACCTTTTCCTCCGAGGTCCCAGGCCCTTTGACGGTTATTGATTTGTTGCCGCCTTCATCCCTAGCAATAAAGGTGTCCAGTCCCAGCTCCTCGTCGCTCATCATGGTGTAGCCCACAAGCACCTGAAAGAACCGTCCCGAGTCCGCGTAGACGTCGATGATGCCCGAGCTGTAGGGGCCCGAGCGGTCGAACACCCACGCCTCCATCTTGGTCCCGCAGACGGCGAATGCGTGGACGAACCGCCGGGTGGGCTGCGCAGCGAAGACCTCGCGCACGCAGCGGCCCATCTGCAGCAGTGTGGTTTTGGTCCCAATCTTCTCCTTTGGTTTTTTGAGCTCGCCAACAACCAGGATGTCTCTCCAGTCGTGTTTGTTCCGCGAGGGGCTCGCACCGCTAGCTCTCAGAAGGAGGTCCACTTGCCGTTCCGCATTCGAACCGGTAAGATCCGCTTTGCTCGCCGTGGTGTAGTAGGTGCCGCGTGATTCCGAGAGAAGGTTTTCTTGAAGACGAAACCACCAGGCAAGGACATCGTCCTGCGTAGGAGGATCAGGAAACTGGGCCCAATTCCCATCGCTGTCTGGGGCCAGCACGCGTCGACAGATGGCATCTGCTTTGCCGCTCCAGTCTTTTCCCTCAAAGTACTTGTCGAAGAAGCCCTCGACGTCTCGAAAGGTGCAGCCACGTATCTCCTCGAAGATCCTCGGATTCACCAACTCACGCGTCTGCTCGGAGCCTTTCTGTGATGACGAGGTGGATTTGATCGGCGTGCCTAGAGAAGTAGGAGGTATGCTCGCCGGAGGGGTCACTCGCGAGACGGTGGCGATGAGGTCGAGGACGGCTTTCCAGATGTCAACATCGGTCGCCTTTCGGATGACAAGTCGTACGAGTGTGCGGTAATGTTCATAGCTGAAGTCACCATCTTGAAGGCAGGTGAATAATTTTGACAGCTCGGATGCCACATTTTTATTGCCAGCTGGTGAACGCAGGTGGAAAGCCGACTTTTCACCCATCAAGGTGGTGAGGAGTTTCGATGTTGCATCGTGGCAGGCTTCACGGCTTTCTGTCGTGCCATCATTGTAGTTATGCTCTGCGTCTGGAAGAAGCTTTTCTAGTCGATCAAGTGAATCATTCAAAGGATACCTTAAAATAACGGCGTGATCGTCCTCCGAAAGGTCTGCCATACCTATACGTGTTGATGTTTAATGATTTCCTGACAAGTCGATGCTCAAAGATCTGGCAGAGAGAGAAATAGGTCAGGTGACTTGGTGGGTCGCAAATTACCTTGTTTGTTTGTCTTGTTTGTATGTTCTTGAAACTTTCAAGCCCAACCTTGCAATGCAACATCACTAAACTTCCATTCTAAAAGCGATATTTCTTTTCAAAATAATTTAATAAAGAATATACCATAAAATGATTTAAAAAAAAAGTTTAATTTGAGAAAAGACAAACTATGTCACTGGAGATTTTTCTAAACCTAACTGGTATTAAATCCAATAGGCTTCATCCCTTATCTCAGAAATTCAGTGAAATGAGCGAGAATCCTTGCCTTGCAAAGGGGATTTAGTTTTCTGAGTCTGGTGATAACCATAATGTTAGTGGTTGATTCTGTTTGGATAAATCCTTTAGAATTCAGAGAAGGAATAATATGTCATTAGAACGGAATTACTCGATTTAATTATCTAACTAACTATATGCGTCTTTTCTTGGGCAACTTGAATACTTCTGGGGATTTCCTTTCATTTTCTCGCGGAGCAACCGAGGGGAAAACCTGTGAATTGGTGAGAGGTTGGCATATCATTACCCTTGGTAAAGAACGAAATGCGAGGCATGTCTGATGCAAGATTGACATGTGACAACGAAATGAATGACACCAACTTGTTACCTAATATATCACATGACAGTGCGGCGGCCCCAGTGCGTATGATTACCAGCCGCTGCCTAACACCACCTGCGCGACGTCCAGAACTTACCCCTCTTTGGATTGAAGGGCGACGATCTCCGCGTCATACCCATATCTCTTTCCGCAACGCTCAAAAAGCAATGAAGTTTTCTGCATTTGTCGAACTAAAACTAAGATATTGCAATTAGGTGACTTTTTCCTATTACTTTCCGCGAGTGGTCGTCGTCGTGATTCTTGTTCCTTATTTGCCAAAGTGGACACTCACGGTTGTTCAACCCTTCTTATTTTGATAGCAGCCAGCTACAAATTTTCGATCTGGCGATAGACCACGTCCCAAACAACAGAGTGTAAGAGTGGTGGTATCCTCGCAAAGTCTTAAGGATGACGCTGACGTCTCCATGACGAAGTTTGACCAACCGAAACCTACAGAGCGCCGAACAGCATCGATCGAGCAGGAAATTTGAATTGCTACATCTCGTTTAATATGACAGAAGAAGCGACAGAAGAGTCTTTGGTATGCATGACTTCTCAAGGCCTTTCTGACACGTACAAATAGTCTAATGTTTCGCAGCGCAACCGCTGGAAAGAACTCGCCGTGCCACCAGGCTTCTTCAAGGACTGTAAGAAGCATGCGATCAATTATATCTTATCGGAAAATTACGAGAGAAAGCTATATTGCTCAGAATGCGAGAGTATCTCGTTTCAGAATGAGAAGGGCGAGAGTATTTGGTCTACTGCGGGTGACGGGCAAATGGATGCTCTACCCGCAAAAGTTGGTGTATACATTGTCAGAGGGAAGTCAAAGACCGGGTGATACGATCAAAGGACATCATCCGCGTACAAATCGTTAGCTATCAAAGTGCCCACAACGAAACCAATGCGCAAACGAATAGTACCGTGGTTAGGTTGCTTGCGACGCATTTCCAATGTAACACAATCTGTTGTATCTAGAAGTAGATGGCCTTTCTCCCATACCCGTAGCTCGCTCTTCTCGATCGCATGGCAAATACGAGGGCTGAAGACCGAAGCGATAGCTGAGACAGACGCCCCTTGGAAGGTAAAATATGCGTGGTCCTCTGTTTCTGTAAATGACGGGTCATGTGTCAAGGGTAGGTTTTTCACTTACCACTGTCTAACACTGAAGTTGATATCCCTTGGTGCCCCGACATCGGAGCAGCCT